CCCCCCGTGCCTTCACTCCCAAGCCACAGCCCCCCCCAGCCCTGCTGGTACCCCTTACTCCTGATCCAAAGTTGCCCTGCTCCTCCCTGCTGGAGGGGGCCCCAGTTGCCCCTTTCCTGACCGGGCTGGAGCATGGCAACTCCAATTCACGCAGGTGGCAGCGGACTAAGTCCAGCCCCACCATGGGTTGGAGGAGGGAGGAGGAGAGGCTTGTGGTACCCCCTGCCCTGTGCTGGGGTTCCCATGCCATGCCAGGCCATGCCTCCCCCTTCCCCCCATCCCGGCAGTGTCTACTGACTGCTCTGCCCCTGTAATCGCAAGCATGAGCACCGGCCTCTGTGCCTCCGGCCCAGCCATGGAGTTCCCAGCTGCTCTCAGAGGGTCCCACCAACCTCTTGCCCCACTGGACAAGCAGGCACCCCTCCCCCACCACCGTGCCCCAGCCCCAGTGCCACCAGACACCTGGCCTCCTCACACATCCAGACCCTCCACACCCCCCTGCCCCACACACATATACAGACCCCCAAATAGCCTTGGCCCTCCAACCCCCACCCCCCACAGACATATGTGCATCCAGCTGTGCAGCTGCTCCCACGACCCTGACTGGTTGCATGCTGACCACATGTGTGTGCGCGTGCAGGCATATGTGTGCCTGCTGCTTCCAACTGCCCTCCCCCTGCTCCCATCAGTGGAGCAGAATAAAATCCTGGCCATTTGTTCAGATTTCAAAAAACCTCCAAGATGGAGATCAGAGAACTCAAAAAGAGAACATGTCTGGGAAAACTCAACTGCTTTATGCTGCACCTATAATATTTAGCCAACCTTTTAAGTTAGAAACTGGAAGATTTTGTACTGATGCTTATAAAAACCACGCTGGCTTCCTTCACATTGAAAATGCAAACAAGTAGCAGTAACAGACTGAATCACTCACTCCTCCTCTGTCATTTATAAAATATGCAAAAATATGAAACACAGCCAGTCAATATGACATTTTACAATAGGTTTCACACAAAGAGATAATTTTCTGTATCATGCAAGAGAAAATGCATGACACAGAATGCACCATACAAAATTCAACTAGGCCAAATCCTGCATTCCTGAACTCTCTGTGACCTTGCACATCACACTCTCTATACATAATCTGTGTACTTATACATTAGGTCCAAGTAGTAGGCAGCTGTATAGAGATAGCCATTAAAATAATGAAGGAATCAATTTGGCCTGGGCTAAAACAGTGATTTTTCAGGTAAGGTGCTGTGAGATCCTTTTAAGGGTGCCATGCAATATTCAATGCATATTGAATGCATTCAGTACATAGTTTAATGTCCAATGTTTTTCTGTGTCTATTTTTTCCTTGAGAGAATGTTCAAAAGCATTCTGACCTGCTGTGGTCTGAGTTCTTTGCAAAAGAACTGCCCCATTAGTCTTCTGTAGTAAAAAATGAGTGAAAGCTGGCATTTTCTGAGGAATCCCTTGACCCCAAAGAGGATGAGTACCAATGTGCTAAAATAACTACAGGGAAAAGAAGGAAAGGGAGAAAGAGCCCAGGGGAAGATTCTTCCCAGGGGTGGGGAAGATTGCAAGGGAGAAGCTGCAGGAGAGCTGGCCCAGGGAAGTAGGGACTATGATGCTTACTGCAGAGCTACTTGTTCTGCAGCAGAGCAACAGGACAATGTCTGCATGAGCAGTAGGAAGCCTACTGCAATGCTAGCTGTTTCACAGTACAACTATAGCCTATAGCCCTGGAGGGGAGGCAAGGTACTGGTGTTACTGAGCCTAATTAGAGGGCATGTGTGGCCAGCCCTGGGGATTCACCTGACTGGAAACGGACAGACCCTGAGAGAGAAGCTAGGGCCAGGGTCCAGAGCCAGGGCAGACAATCTGGCCCTGGAGGCTGAAGAGGGAAGAGCTCTGTGGTGAGGTGCCTGTTGTTGAGTGATGGACTGTGAGCATGCTATGCCTGGAGACAGCAAGTGAAGGGCTGAGGGCTAGCAGAAGACTAAAGCCCATGGAGTTTCGGTATATAGTTAGGAGGATAGAGGTTTAGTTTAACCAGAGTGCTTATGCTTTTGGTTTTAGTTTTAACCTCTGGTTTAGGTTTGTGACTGTCAGGAAAGGTGGAGTGTTTGAGGGCATGGGAGTCTCTTGAGCCCTGCCAGGGACTGAAGAAGGGTGCAGCCAGGGCCAAGGGCCCACAGCCTAGACAGGCAAAAGCCAGGGCCAGGGCCCCAGGAGCCCAGGAAGGGCACAGACCGAGCCAGGGGGCCCAGCCAGAGAAGGGCAGAACAAGGGCCAGGGGCCCAGTGCCCAGAGAAGGGCAAGACTGGGGCCAGAGGTCCAGCACAAGGGATACAGAAGCCAGAGGCTCAGACAAGGCTGAAGACAAGATAGCTGGATTCCAGAGGACTGGAAAACGGCCAATGTGGTCCCCATCTTCAAAAAAGGGAGGAAGGAGGACCCAGGAAACTATAGGCCCGTGAGTCTTACTTCAGTCCTGGGGAAGCTTTTTGAAAGAATTATCCTGGCACATGTCCAGGAAGGGCAGGCAGGGGAGCTTATGCTCAGGGGCAACCAGCACGGGTTCATTAGGGGCAGGTCTTGTCAAACCAACCTGGTGGCCTTCTATGACCAGGTCACCAAGTCCTTGGATGCAGGTGTCGCAGTGGATATAGTCTTTCTGGACTTCAGGAAGGCCTTCGACATGGTCTCTCACCCCATTCTCAGTAAGAAACTAGGAGACAGTGGTGTTGATGCCTACACAGTCAGATGGGCCACT